AGATTTATTTGGGTGGGTTATAAACTTACGTGTTTGGTCCTTGGACCTGAGATAGTCGTCCACCTGCCGATATGACGAGTATGGGACCGAATCACCCTTTTATTGTGTGGGGAGCATGCTTCCTATGGCTTGCGTCAATGTTTGCTATAACTTGGTCATTGCTTTTATTCTTTTGTAAGTATCAAGTGAATAAGATGCGGGTCAAATTCAAATACATTTATTTGTTGTTTTAATCGGTTGATTTGGAAGTTATTTTCACGAATACTAACTGCTTAACTAAATAGTACCTCGTTTGGTCCAATGGTCGACGTAAGCAAGACCAAGCATGGGGTCTGCGGTTAGATTCCCTGATACAATTTCTTTTAAAACATTCCGCGTATCTAACACGGAGTTAGGATTTGTGCGCAGGGGTGAGACTCGTATTGTGTGATTATTATAAGTAAACTGAGTGTTACCCTTGTGTTTGCTTGCTAAAAAATAATCATCTCCTGTCTAGGTGTTGGTGATATATTGATGTTAACTGGGACAGACGTCGTTAACGCGATTGTTTTACTGTCTGGAATTATAATGCTCCCAACTAACGTACACATTCTATGTTCTATAGCAAATGGTAGACGGATTGAGTAAGTTTGTATTGTGTATAGTTTCTCCGATATAATGTACCATGCCCTAGATAACACAGCTAGGCGAATATCGGGAAAGGAAGAACATCAGAATGAGTTCACAATAAAGTAGCCTTTTCGAATGGTTTTGAGATTTTTTGGCAGATTCAACACCTTCGTGCGAACTTATAATGGCGCGGTACATTAGTAAACCAATCGTTAAAAGCTTAGTCACATTTTCAACGAATGAACTCAATGCTTGACATATGTTACTATATCTTTAATTGCAGTTATAAGTCGAAAGTGGTTTGCTGTCCACTGTGGCTATGCATTGTATGGATAATAATAATAAACATGTTGGGAGCTGCGTTTTGCATTCAAAAGATTTATTCTGGCAAATATCCAACCCTTGAAAAGATAAACAATACTATAAAGCATTATAGAAGTGTACCAAAATATAAACATTTTGTTGATAACTTGCAGTGGTCTTTGAAATGTTGTGGGGTATGTTTCATTTGAATTTTTAATATCTAGATGTTGACTTCTGACATTACTGTGGAAATTTTATAGAATATTTAGTAGTAGGTATGTGTAGCGACATACACAAGTAATTATTTTGTTTATTTCAGCTTAATTCCTATAAAGATTGGTTTAACCATGATTGGTACGATAAGATACGTGACTATGAATGGGATCCGAGTGCTAATAAACGCAATGGCTACAAGAGAAGAGAGTTGGAGACTTTGTCAGATAGCGTTCCATTAAGGTTCAACATTTGATTCATTATTATCATAATTGCTTAGGTTAACATTAATTACTATACATATTTAAATGTGAATTTATTCGGCTCAGAAAATTAAATTCGTGGCCATCCGCAGTCCGACCAATCTCCTCTTGTGACTAGTAAACAACATAGACACATTTTTTATAGTGACAACTTTGATAGTACACAATTATGTTTGGTGTTTGTTTCACAGTTGCTGTAAAAGTGGATCATGCATATCAAATTATTTGCTAGAACTGGGGACTCACTCAATTAACACTAAAGGATGTGGGAATTTAATATATCGCATTATATTGTCATCAATGGTAGCTCACCTTATAATGTTCATTTCTGTAATTATAGTTGAGGTACGTCAGTTTTATTAGTTGCAAGTTATGCGAATACTTATTTGGATAAATTGTAAAATTGTATGCCTGTATGTAACCAAGGTATTCATATTAGTTGTTTTTTCAACAGATTTTAATTCTAAAGTATATCATTCAAAATAGTCCTTGCCCTCAAGATAAAAGACCGGTGAATATGAATGTACGACACATAATGTCCGTGAATGATCGATTCGCCTCCAGCAACTCACTTCAAATGAATCCTGATGATACTGATTATGAGAATGAAGTTCATCTTGGAGATGTACGAATGGATGGTTCAGGGTATGTTGACACCTATTTGTAGTTAATGACAAACTGTGTACCATCCTACCTATTACGTACCTACATACCTAGTTATTTATTACCAGTACCTACGTTACTTGTCATTTCGACAACGACAAATCATGATTTTCGATTTCAGTCAAATAACGGCTCAAAAGATTAAATTATAATTAACTTTTCACTTTGTAGATTAACGATAGTTAATCGTGTTATTGAAGATGAAGATTCAGAAAGTGCGAAGGAGACAAAAAAGTGGAGATATGAGGATGACTAGTTTGTACCTACTTTACTGTGACTGTTAAGATGGTTTCATTAAAAAAAGAAGATAATACCTTCGTATGCCATTCATTCTTCGAAAGAATATTCTACCTACCTAATATCTATCCAAACACTGAAAATAATTATGGTATAATTAGTTTGCACCTATTACACCGGCTAGAAATATGAATATGCTATAGAAAGAATCTACAAGTTGGTATGTGTCGACTGAAAAAGTCTGCAGATAATTTTTCAACCGATAAATATTTTTTATTACTCAGAAAATAAAGTTGACGTCTGACATTATTTTGTATGGGTATGGAAGAATTATGAATGGCAAAATTACTATTCCTACGATAGAGTTATCTGGCGTTAGATAAATTGGGCCGGGCCCCAATTTCTATATCTATAGCGCGGTCCTATGAGTATTTGCTCTAAAAAGGCATTGGTTTCGGTATAAAAAATAATTAACGGTTGTCGTTGACTGATGTCACGGCATTTGACAGTTAACAATACTTACATGTCACTGTCACTGTGACAGAAAGCTTTCAACTAAGGTGTTCTTCTCTTGTCTGTATTGATCTTGATAAATAAATAATCTTCTATATTACTTATTGGAAAGTAAGTATAGAAATATATAAAATTGTTTTCAATATTTTAGTCCGCTTTCTTAGTAAGCATTGAAAACTAATTTACAAACATAACCTCAATTGCAGACCATGGTGTTCCTAACAATAGCTAACTGGGTACGTTCCCGAGGGCCTGATGAGTTTTGGAGAAAAAGAAGAATGTTTAGGCTCGCTGCACATTACATAGGACGTAGAAGAAACTGTTATTCTGTCACTGTTCGCAATGTTCACAGAGCATTAGTTTATGCAACCAAAGCTAGGAAGTTGAAGAAGCAGGACATGATTGATCTATGGAGCACTAGAATTACAGCGGCTTGTGAACAACATAACATTACACCTTGCACATTAAAGCAAGGCTTGGACCGTGCTAACATCATGTTAGACCGTAAATCATTATCTGACCTCGCTTGTTGGGAACCACGGACATTCGAATGTTTAGCTGCCGTAGCTAAGCAGAAGCTAGAGTATGATGGAGTTATTGACTATACTGATAAGAAATACCCTACAGGTGTGAATCTAAAACTAAAAGATGTTATGCTTGAGGCTTGGCTGAAGGAAAAGAAACAATAAATTATTTCAACATTTTATTACCTATTATCTAGTAATTTTAGTTCCACATTAGTTCTGTAAATAATAAATATTACTTAACACAAATGCTTTTCATTGATTAGCTCCCTAATTCTTTCTTTAGTTTTTTTGTTAATTCATTTTGCTTTTCTAATATGTAAAGGTTTTCTATTTTTCGTCTTTGCTGTCTCTCCACATCCTTTATTACTCCTTCATGCATTCTCTCCCTGAAATATTAATTGTTTTGTTATTATAAAGGGGAAAATTAAGATCATATCAGCAGATATAAAAAATATAGGTAAAGCTGTCTGAATGGGCAGAATAGATATTTACAAGTAAGAAAATGGAAGATTACCCAATTTCAGTTAAATTCAAAAGATGGTTTCAAAAGAAATGAAGCACCTGCATGTATTTCTAATAATATTACCTGTCTGTTTGTTGTTTTATGTGCACATATGATACAATACCCAAAGTGACTGAACATGACAGCAGTAAAACAAACTTAGACGTTCCTGAAGACATTATTACTTAATAGAATTTGTAGGACTCTCAATACACATAATTAGATTGTATTATCTTATGAATTCCAAGATAATATTTTTAAGTCGAAGAAAATGTTGTCTCGAAACCTGTCACTTGCGGAACAAACCGAAGAAATTGTTTTGTCAATGTCATTTGGCTTGGCATTTGACAATCTTCAATCTTGACATTTCAATTCCAGTTGGTTCAGTGTTACCATATTATTTTTATTTTTTTTATTTGACTGATGTAAAAATATGGGATTATATGAATATGGCAATTGTGATTATATTAATATCTGGATAATAATATGTAATACACCAGTTTCATTCCTATGATTCAGAACAGAATTATTTACTGATCTGCGCGCGCGCACGCACGCACGCACTAACATTAATTTTTTTACTACTAAAAGAATTACATAAGGTTTAAGGTAGCCCGCGAAATTTAAATTTTCTTATGTTTTTTGGTAATATATAGCTCGATATCGATATCAAATAGTATGATGATAAAATAAAACATATAGGGAAGAGAATAGCAACATAGGGAAGGGACATAAGGTAATTTTTTTACTAAAATGATGAACTCTATACAGATAACCTTAACCCATAAGTGGGTGGAAGAATATCTGGGTGCTTGCTTGTTCCTTTTTTTTGACTTTTCTGTATTTCATAGGTATTGACTTTTAATTGCGGATAGTTAGAAATTCGTGGGTTGCTTTGAAGCCTATCATTATATTATATTTTGGGAATGAGATTAAAAAAAGACACATATAAATAGTCTTTTTTTCTTGATAAATTATTAGGTATTAAAAGAGAGTAGGTACCTAAAGAGTAAACCTACGATTAGTAAAAATAGTGATGAATTATATTCTCAACAATTCGGGATTTACTATCACATTGTAATTTTGTTATGCCTTTGTAGGATATTTTCACCAATATTTATTTACCATATTATGCTTTTTGGAAAACAAATAAAAAAAAGCAATTTACCTTCAGACTTAATCTTTTATTAAAAACTTTTAGCGTTGTATGCACTAAGTAGGTAGGGACCAGCTATGTTTATTGCTAGGCACTAGAATATTGGAACCAATTTCATAAGCTCAAAGTGCCTACCTACCTAATAATAGGTGTATGTACGGTAAAAATAAGTTGTACTAACATTTTTGTAATTGTTACACGTAAGTACCTAATTAGCAAATTGTAGGTAGGTACTCACATACATAGGTAACGTGAAAATGTCGATTAAATGTGTTATGGTCACAATTTATTTCGTTAGTTAATTTCTTTTTAAATGAAAAAGTTTCTATCGTTCTTATGAATTGGTTCCACAGATTTTGTGAATTTTCTAAATGAAACAGACGCACCAATAATCATTTCCTCACTGGTAACAAAAAGTGCCTGAAAAGTGCTTGTTCGTTGCTATAAAAAAGACGAATCTTTTGTATGTATATTTATCAGCCATTTTTACAAAAACATAAATATAAAATTATAACGTTAAGTATTTACAAAGGTTTCTTATTTACTAATTTATTACAAAAACTTTGAGTATTCCACTAATCGATAATATTATCTAGGCACCTAATACTTAATACAAAGTTAAGTTCAGTCAGTTACTGAGAATTTTGTAACAATAAGTATAAATATCATGTAAACTTAGGTACATTATTAAAGAACATCTAAAATCTTGAGGATTTATTTAAAATGTTTTGTAATATCGTCTATAATATTTACAATTTTTCTTTGTCAACAGAATTGATAAGTTAGTCTCCTTAGTTATGTAAAACCATATATGTTAGGTACTAGCCTCCTATCTAGGTACAAGCCAAGTTTGTACTCACCTAGCATGAATGAAAAGGCATAGCAGGAGCTTAAGTTATTTAAACACGTTTTGAAAACTGATGAACTTGCACACAATTTAGCTCATATTGTAAATCTACCTACATGCAATAAAACAAGTGTTCATAATTTAAATAAACGCATGTAAATGTTCACCCTGTAACAACTGCACACTGAAAACAATCACTGGTATAATTACACTTCGACAAATGTTTGCTTTTCGTTCTACTACGTCCACTTTTCATTTAAAGCTTACTCGCAGAGTCTATATAAATAGACAGCAAAGTCTATAGTGGGAAGCCTACTGGTTATTATGGCACAGCTACCTGCCGCAGTTGTCATAGAAACTGGCAGAGCCCCGGTTGGGGATTTCAGCAAACTCGCGTTTTGGTGTGCACAATTTTGTGCTGAAGTCGACATTTCTTTTCCTGCAAAAGCAGAAAATAATTTGTAGAAACAGCCTGAAAAAAATTAAATAAACCAATAATGAACAGCGCATGTTACCCTCTGCTTGGCAGTTCCATTTGGTCGACGAGAACTGATTTGACGTACAATCGGTCATTACACCATAGTATGCAAAGAGATCGCGGCTCCAGTACATTCATGTCGTACTCCCACGATAACTCCACCTAAAACAACAGATGACGAAACATGTTTATCATCAACGCACACTTGATTGTTTCTTTTTTCAAAAAAGAAACGATTGGAGGAAACAGCGCATTTGTACATTTGTATTTCGCCTATATAGGTTCGATATTTATCTACACACCTTTCTAACTTTTCCACCCAAATCCATAGGGTGTGTGACCACTATGGTGTAGGTAGTGCCATGTTCTAATCTGTAAATAAAAAAATTGTTAGATGGTCGTAAAAATATCTAGTCACTTGAAAGTAGTATGAAAGTCAGACAAATTTCAGACCACACTCACTTAACGTAGTTATTTGGTGTTAAATCCATTCCTCTAATTACGCCTCTATCGGACATCAAAGTTACTTTGAGGAAACCCTGTGGACAATAATTTATGTATAGGACTATAGGCTTAATTATTTTCAGCGGCCCAGATTGAATTTTGGAATTTAGATTTTTGGTAAATCTAGTTCAGTAGGTTTCCTTGATAGTGCAAAACAATAGAAAAAATAGGTAGTTAATGCTATCACCTGCACCCACGATTCTGCTCCTTTAGGATTTGCCAGCTGAATAGCTACACGGTAATGTCGTTCTGAAATAAAACCACGAAATAAATTATGAAATTATATTACAATTAATGATTACTTCTATTCTATGTAAGATAATATAAAATAATAGAACAAAACTGGTTTCTATTCCATGGGTAAGTACGACGGTAGGGGGACATCAATTTTGTCTGACAGTTGCGTTTTATTTGGTCAATACTACAATAGGTACTTTTACGTTCATAGGATGTTGAATAGTACCTATTCATTAATCTATTTGATACATATTAGAAAATTGTCATACACCCGGTACTAAACGGTTGATCAAAACAATAATCGCATTTACCGACATCTCTTTCCGATTGTCCATTATATGCAAAGTTGGCCTGGACAAGGTTGTCACCGGATTTATTAAAAAAATCGCGGTTTTGGCTTTCTTTTGCTTAGTTTCGAAAAGGTGTTTTGCAAATGGGTAACTGATTAACTGGTCTAAAACTATATGTTAAATAATATGTTAATATGCTAAATGTTTTGGCAAATGTCATATTACTAAACCACATTCTAAATTAGCAAGTATTGTGTTGTAACATGAGGTTGAAAGCAATCAGCCACATGCCGTTATTAGGGAGAAAGGAACCTCATTTCAGATGTTATGTCGTAATGCAAGGGTCAACTGCACCTCGTCAAGAAGAACCCTATTCAACCGCCATGAATAATACAACACACACAACATGCATAATTTACTTTATAACTCTAGTTTATATTAAGGAAATACCTCTGATTAATATTTGCAATTTAAATATGAAGCTTTTAATTTTACAGCCATCGAATTTGATTAATAAAACGAAACTTTACTAGCTACGCTAAATGTGTAAAATAAAATACTTACGACAATAAGGCAGGTCCTTGCCTGTGCTGAGGTAATATTTAGCACCAATGGTATCGTGCTCCTCAGATGGGAACACTTCATTTTCAGATTGATTATTTTTGTTCGTAATCAAACCCGGGGAGCTGTCTGCGTGGAATCTATTACATCAATAAATATCGGTAAAAAATAAATTGAAATTAAATCGTAGGTAATTAATTTAAACAACTGAAATAGATCATACCCCATTATTGCGCAACCGTGTCCGCAATGGAAACATTTTCCTGTTAGAAAATGTTGGTATGACGGGCACTGATGTCCTGAAAATTTGGGTAATGTTAATTAGGGCTGCACATTACCAACTTAATCATAGGCATGGAATTTAACTTCCTTACCTACCTTAAATAATAATTCATTATAATTCACACGATATTTCTTACCTATATAGGAACACTTTCCATTGATAGATTCTGTGAAAAGTTTAATAGCTCTAACGTGGTTGCAGGCTACTAGTACCCTGGAAGCTTCCTCAAGTCCTTGTTTGACGAGTGTCAAAGGTACGAGCGGTCCTTCGGTGAGGTCACAACCTGGTTGCTCCTTCCCGTTATTCGGGTAGAAATCCAAGTGACCGACGGGTTGTGACATTCCATATCCTGCCATAAACACAAAATCTGTCGCACGCGTGAAATAAACCGTCGATTAATTAGTTACCATATCACGCGATAAATATATATTCAGATATACTATACAAATGAATGATGGAACGAAAAGCTAAAAAGCGTATGGTACATATTTACAAAATAAAATACATATATACTATATATATAATACATATTATATTAATAAGGGTTAGTAAGTAGTATGATTAGATGGTGGAGCGACAAAGCCAATTTTGTTGTTACAAACTTCATTTTATTACGTGATCAACAAATGTACATGATTCACGATAGTGCGGTGTGGATTATAAGAAGCGTACGTGCAGTATCACGAACGAATGAATATACACAGAGTTACGTCCAAGGCATTACCTAAAAGGAAAATGCTCTTTCCGTCAGTGTGTATGACGTCGACAAGTTGCGCGTCGCTTGGATCTAATCGCACATGCGTCGGCATTCCTTGGAAGTAAGGTTCGGCTGGATCCAGGCCTGTAATTCTTCCTAAGCCCTACGGAACGAGAAGCTAAATCAAAGAAAATATGAAAAGAAAATACGTAACATCATATAATGCATGATCTAGTAAATTTTGCTTTTTGGTTTTTACTTACCTGTATTCTTTCGCCTGCGTAACCTGCTGTATGGGCACCTAAGGAATGACCTATAATGTGGACATCTAATGGATTCACTCCATGTTCTTTCTGTAATTACATTTTGGCATTTTAGTAAGATATAATAATTATGTTTCGTAGTGCAACAGATTTTATAGTAATTTACCTGTAAAGTATTAATGAAATGTGCTACTTCAAGTCCCACTAGCCTAGTATTCGCCGTAGCTTGTGTGTACAACGGTAGACTGCCGCCAGCCCAGTCCACTATAACAACATTGAAATCGCCTGCTTTCACAAGCTCATCTTTCATCTCACTGACCTAAAAACACAACACATCAAGGGGGTAATTTATTGCATCTTCCATCATTTACAATGAGCCGTGCCACAAAGACATGATACTTACCCAGTTAGAGAGCGGAGTGTCGATGAAGCCGTGAATGATCATCTTAGTCAGTCGCTTCGGGTTGAAATTGGATTTTACTATAGTTTTGTTAACGTTCACGTTCAACAATTGTCCATCTGTTGGGTTCTTTTTTGTATATAAAATAAACCTGAAATTGAAATTTCTCTTTAGTCGTTTCATAAAAGATTGATTGACGTGAAATCTAGGTTTGCTACGTTGTCTCGTAAAATTCAGCGTCGGACAGACTCTATTGAAATTTGTAACTAACCATGTAAAATCTCGTTTTTAGTAAATTACAAGCTATCGTATATAATATACGTATTACTTTTGAAATTCAATTCGCAAATTATGCCAGTAGTGAACTACCACAGATATATAAGGAAATACATAATTTATGTTGATGGCCAGTCTCATCCATGTTAGGATGAATGGGACATTGTGGATATATTACCTAGTATTTATGACGACTCGTGGCAGCGGGAACACGTTGAAGGGCCGGTGAATGAGATGGTACCAGCTTCTAGTGATGTTCAGGCATCCTAGTTCGTCATAGCATCTTGTTTCATTTTCAACTGAAATCATTTGAAACAATAAATAAAATCATAAGTATATGAGGTGTATCAAGTGATCCCAAACAAGTCTGTAAGGCAAGCGTGTAAGGTGTTCAATTCTCGGAATTTTCAGTGACAGCATTTGTGCCCTCGTTTTTATGGTCAGGTTAGCTATTTGAAGTTAGCAAAATTGCCGAACTACTATGTCGGTGTTCGTATTCAGATTGTAAATGTTTTTTTGTCATTAAAATAAAACACATACATGGTAGCCAGGGAATGTTGACCTCGATGCGGTCTGAACGCGCCCAGTTGAAGGGGTCCAGAATGCCAGCGAACGCTGGTTGCAACCCGAGTAGAATGCACCACAGCATCACGCGAAGATGTCTGTCTGTCAAGTGAAGCCGTCGCATGCTCTGTGGATCTGTAAAGAAAATATAAACCATTAATCGTTGAAATATTTCTTAGGAATTACAGATAATTAAAACAGACAGATAATTTAATAGAAATTGCAGCATTTTGTAGTGATAAAGGAACACAATACTATGATCAAAGCTTTAAAATTAGAAATACAACAGTAATTTTTGGAGAGGTACGTAATGGACTAGATAAGGATGAAAAATAATATCATTTATTTGAAAAAGCGAAAAAAATCGTTTATTTTGATTTACATTTTTATGTCCCTATATGGTACGTATCTACGGCATAATAGTAGGTTAGCTAGTCTATACTTAGGTACAGTTAGACTGCAGAATAATTTTGCTGTGTTGGACGTACCTATGGTATAATTATAGCTTCATTCGTGGATTATGGATTGAGTATGTGATTGCTCGTGCCAATCCCATCGAGGTCTAACATAAGTGCACGATTGTGAATGCTATTTATTGTTAAATCATTCCATTGTCTCTATTTACTTTAATTTGGATTTTTTTATATTCAATGTATTGAGGTCGTAATATTATTTACAAACATTACAGTAGATAGTAACAAATGACGTAAAAGTATCTTATTTGTTAGATACGCTGTCTATTTGTTGCACGTCTTAAACAAATTGAATTGATGATAAAGAATTTTGCGACAGAAATACATAGATAAGAAGATTATAACAGTCTAAAACTATTTGTTAGTTATAACGTAACATAACATCATGCCTTTTTGTCCCCGAAAGGGTAGGCAGAGGTGCATATTACGGCACTTAATACTACTGTATCGTAACATCCACTTTTCATTATTTATGTTATGAGTCCCATGTAAGCCTATTGCCAATACCGGGCACAATTCCAGACTCCGTGCTACTACTGAGATTTTTTTTAAAAACCTAGTAATACTTTTCCCTACCCGATAATTGAATCCGAGACCTCTTGCCCGGCAGTCGCATTCGCGACCACTCGGTTAACGAGCCATTCGTTACTTATATGTATAAGCTTTCATTTAATAACAGAATTAGTATCGTGTTTAAAAAGTTAGAGCGTGAAGAATGCGCATTTATCTTTCTATATAATATTTTCATAAGCAATTGCTTGTTAAAAAACTTCATTAACAATATATTGTTACAATATCCCAACAATGATTATTCCTTTGTGCGTATATCTTGGAACAGAGATTAGAAAACAAGTGGAAAGTTAAATATTCAAAGTAGCCAGTGTCGTGATCCCTGTGCTAGTAATTTACAGTCATGTTCAGATCGTGGGTACTGATTGGTTTCCTTTGCTGTGCCGTGGCATGCTTCCTAGCTTTGGCCACGCGGAAGGTACCCCCCCTCACTTCTTATGCAATGGGTAGCTGTATGTACGATGTTATGTGTTAATACGTAAAGGGTAGAATATGTGCTTATTTTATCTGTTAATATTACTGTAATAGGTTTGTCTGTAATAAATATGTAGAACGCTGCTTGCTGCTTGATCGAAGGATAGATTTAAAAGAATTTATAACCAGGTAACTCTCCATATGATAAGAGAGAGGAATATGAAATGGACAAAGCCAATATCAGAATGGTATCCCTCTAGATTTGAATAGGAGCAAAGGGCGACAACAAAGCGTTGGGAAGATGACCTAAGAAGGACTGCTGGATCAGAGTGGATGAGAATTGCAAGGGATAGGGAAAAGTGGAAATCTTTGGAGGAGACCTATGTCGAAAGGCAAGCTGGGGATAAAAGTACTGCTGTATAATAGTAGTGAATAAATTGTAAATATGTAAGTAAGTAAGTATGTGTAAGTAAGTATGTAATAAAGGCTTATTTTATTTATTTTATCATCATCATCATCAACAGCCTATAAGTGCCCACTGCTGAGCAAAGCCTCTTCTCGCACGGAGAAGGTTTGAGCATTAATCATAACGCTTGCTCAATGCGGGTTGGCAATTTATTTTATACCTAGGTTTAATTCAATTTTGCTTGCGTATGACTTAAATGCTACCCGATCCTTTTAACTTTCTTTACCTTTTAATGCTTAGCAATAACAATACTTGTTTGAGTTCTTAAGCACTTACATTTTTTTTTAAAAGGAAGTCATTAAAAAGTTTGTCAGTGAAAGGGGCGAATTTTTAAACTTGTTATGCTCCCGTTTTATAAATTAAGATTTAAATATTTCATTGTGGATATGTATTTTGATTCAAAATGTTTTTGTTTTATTCTGCTCTATTCCAGTGAATGAAACCGAGTTATAAAGTTGAAAGCTTTTCCGATGCGTGCTGGAACCTTGTAACGTCAATTTATGTACGTCCTATTGATTTAATTGTTTTAGGTGCTTATGTATTAATATGTAGAAATTCTATGTCTATTAAGTAATTCAGTTACTACCTACATATTTGTGTGACTCGTCTTCTATAAAACAACACAAATAAGTTTCTAATGGCTCGTGAATGTTAGATGTCTCGGAGCCCATAGTAACTACAACAAATGCAATACAGACCTCGGCAGCTGACATGGAGTCTTTTATACGGGCTAAAGTTTTTTAAAAATGTGACTGCTTATTTTTATGTTCTGAAAGAGTTCCAGTTCAAGTCTACAACGTGCACAGGTTAATTTTTTTGGCATACCTAAGGACGAAGGCTTTATGAATGCAATGGTTGCGTTTTGAAGCAACCTATATGTATTTATCGTCCAAGGCAACAGACGATATTAATATAAAGGTCTATTACGAAAGTAATCGTTTTACAAATTCACTACACGCGTCGCTGCCCGTAATCATAACGTTAATATATGCGAGCACAATCTGAGTGCCTAATGATTACCAATAACAATATCATTTAATATGTTGCGAAGTTATATATAAGTACTTGTCAGCGATACAGCCAACAGATGTTATATCTAAATTTGTTATGAAACGAGATAATCTGTAAGGATTTTTGAAGAAATTTAGAAGCAAACAAAAGTTGTCAAAGTATCAAAAACATATTATTATTTAATTCATGTTTTGCATGTTAATTATACATTTTATGGTGATTTTATGCTGTTCGAAAATATTCTATTGCATATTTTGACAGCGAAACTCTTGTTATATGTGTATAGGTACAGAAACTGGAATGGCTATTTGGAAAACATCGTGTTGCGTTTAATTTAAACGAGACGAAACTGATACTTAAATCAAACTGTAGTCAAACATGTCTTGTGTTTAATACACTTTTTAAATCGACAGGAAACGTCTACTTACGCAGACAACTGATTAAATATTAAACAACGTGAGTACATTGTAATTGTATAATCCAAATAAGTTTATGATATAATTTGATGGGACATTTCACTTTCTCTCATCATTAGAACAAGAATTGGAGCTGATTGCATCGCAAGATAAACATAACCGGAAGACTACCGGTAACTCATCAAATCGATCGATGAAAAAACCGATCCATCGAGTTACAAATAAAATAAGGCACTTCCAGAGCGGCGCGGGCGCCGCGCCGCGCGGAAGTACTGCCGCACCGGTGCGGTGATGCAACGCAACGCGAACGCATTGTACCTTAACCTGCTAACTCTGATATAACTGTTAATGTCAGTGTGCTCGACTTATGCCAACTTTATGTAAGCCCATGAAAGGCATCTTCCGAACGCACGACAACTATTAACTGACTAAAACTTACTGTCTCACTATTAATCATGTCTACAATGATGTAAGAGTTACATACATTTGTATTGTTTAGAGCTTGTATCATCTAGAAATTAATAAACATATTCAAATAAATTTCAATAACGCCGTGCTCGACACATGTAAGTAATGTTTTGATTGTATAACATTTTTGCAATTGTCAATGCCTACATTACATAGTATACAAATATCGGACGGCGACCTTCTTCTGCACTCGGTATCTTGTTGACCTACATTCGGTGTTGTTGTGGTCAATGTGGACTTAACGAAGCGAATGCAACACCCATAACCGTAAGTTTAAAACTTTAACATTATGACATTTATTACATTTTCGAAGATAAATTGTTCACATTTTGTGGAAACAGGAACTCGTGCGTAAAACTTGCGTTACCTTACGCACTTGTTTTTGTCAAGTTAAAGTGTTGCAATTTGCAATGTTTGTTTCTTGTAAAGTGTTGATTTATTACCTAAGTTACAATATTTGTTTATGTAGTAAAGATAATCTTTGTATACAAACATGGCATAATCTAGGAAATACGTACGTAACACTTGATTGATCTCCAATCTGTTGATTATACGGACGGTTGCAACAGATGTTACACTTCGGTGTTACACTGTCTTGCAATTCTTTTGCTTGTTATTGCGAATTGCGCTTTCGAGAAGACGATTGGGACAGAGTGTGGGACGTGAGCGCACTATATTAGTTCTCATATCGTTCACTTGTTACGCCTGTGACTGCTTATTTAGGACACGAAACAACTCTACATGGTTATATTCAGTTTGCATATCGAATATCTCACTTGAATTGAGACTCGTGTCTGTACAATTACAGTCGTTGTAATACCAGTTTGTCAAGTTGCAGAATGATAAACCGAAATGTTTAATAATGGAGGATTATCCTGTACTCATGAGATGGTACTGAGGTAATCATTTTTAATTGAATTCTGATTTGTGCATTTAGTGGTATAATAAGCACATCCTCGGGAAATGAATGATTGTCGCCATAATAGATGGTAGAGCCACCTGCAATTAAAGAATGCATGCTTTAGCAACCGATTGAGTTGACAGGACATTAATTTGTAGAGGTTATAATTGTACAGAGTAAGTAGTAACACATGTTTGTGGTCTGTGGTTACAGTTGCAGACGCACCCGAAATCGAAGGTGCAAATTGCATGGTGATGAAATAGGGTAACATAACAACATCAATCATTGCAATGACGCTTGTGTAAATATTAAAATACTTTCAAACCTACTTTTCTTACAATATAAATGTAAATAGTAAAAAAAATCTTTTTAGTCCATGCTATTTTGCATTCATGCATGTAAAATTAAATAGCATG